CTTGCGGCCTTTTCCCCGCCGTCGCCTATCGCTCCTGCTCCTCGTTCTCATCTTTTCTTTCCCGGGCTACGCAGAGGTGGAGCTCAGGCACCTGCCCTCCTGGCCGCCCTCCCCAGCCTCCCGCCCTGAGATGGAGGCGTTTTTGGTTTGGTTTGCTTGTTTTGTCTTCCTGCTGCTTTTTGAGCGACGTTCTTGGGCTGGGTCTGGACTGAAGGGGAAATAAATAGGGCTACGCAGAGGTGGAGCTCAGGCACCTGCCCTCCTGGCCGCCCTCCCCAGCCTCCCGCCCTGAGATGGAGGCGTTTTTGGTTTGGTTTGCTTGTTTTGTCTTCCTGCTGCTTTTTGAGCGACGTTCTTGGGCTGGGTCTGGACTGAAGGGGAAATAAATACGAATGCTTTAACTTCTATATCGTTAAGTATTTCAAGTCCGGGTGGCTATGGCCTTAACATCCTTCCTGTGTGAGAAACAGCTTTGTAAATCCATGCAGTTTCACAGCTCAGGTGAAGGACAGTAGTTCTGTGACTTCCCTTTGAGCAAAGAGGGGTTTGCAATGGAGATTTGCTGCTTTTGTGCTTTACCTAGAAATATATATAGGTGTACATTTTCCCTTCAAAATAAAAAACGTTCTCCCTAATTTTGAGGGCAACAGGAAATTAAAACAGTGACCATTTTGTAATTGATGGATTTGCAGACCTTCTTGTAAGGAGGGAAGTCCAAGGCCAGGGAATGCTGTCAAGAGCAGTGAAAATGCTCAGGTTTGGAATGCTCATGGGTTTTTTAACTGGTAGAGTTGCTTTGGTGAGATAGGGACCCATTAATAATTTGGTATAGTTGTTTCTGTGATTCTAGGATGATATCTTTAGTCATATAGAGTGACTGTTTAGCTGCTACCATATAAAGAGCTTGTATTTGTAATACAGTACATTTTCTTTCAGACAGATGTCCATGGTAGGATAAGAGAAGTTCTTGCTGAGACTATACGAGAAGAGTTAGCTCCTGAGCATCAGCAGCTATCCACAGAAGATCTGATAAAAGCATTAAGACAACGAGGAATCATTGATGATGTTATAAAAGAAGTTAAATTTGTAACTGTAAGTAGCTTTTGAAGAGTGAAAATATTTTTGCATATTCTTCTTACTGACTTGGTGTTTTGACAAAGTGAAAACTTGCTAATTCTAAAGGTTTGTAGTGGCTTTACTGTTTTTTGACATAATAGCAGAACGGCTTACTGCGTGTGTTAAAATTGGTTTACTACATTGAAAGTATTTGTTCAGTTTCGTTACATCTCATGTACTAGAAGGGAGCGTACCTGAGGAATGGCATTCAGTTGAAATGGAGAATTATTTAATTTTTATAAGACTGCAGCAAAAGCATTTGTTGCATCCCTTGATGTTGTAAAAAATCTTAATTGTAATTCCAGGATGTGAATGAAAAGGAGAGAACTTCAGCTCCAAAGCCATCAACACATTTTGTTGAAAGAGAACCACCAATTTTGAAGAAAAGTATGTTGCTTTTTTCTTTAATATTTGGCCCATAGTTTAGAGAGAAATTTTAAAGTCTGTGATTTTTTAATTCTGAATTTGTAATCCAGTATGAACTGTCACAAATGTGGATTCTTTTTTCCTACTTATTTATAGGAAGTAAATTAAATTAAGCAGCAGAAATTAGTGTCACATAAATTGTGACTTGAATAAAAAATTTTGCATTTTAGATTAAGATAACTTCCGTACAGGTTGAAATAGTTCTCCTGAACACTTGTTAAAAAAAACGTTTCTTTTTTTTCTAGTTTTCTGTTAGTTAACTGATATTTAACGTGCTTCCTAAGATCTATTTGTAGTCTCTTCATTTCTATTGCTACGCTTTACAGCTAACATTGACCCAACACGGAGGTATCTTTACCTTCAGGTTTTGGGTGGAAAAGCTTTTCTGGAACATCTTCAGGAACCAGAGCCTCTGCCTGGCCAAGTATGTTCTACCTTCACTCTGTGTTTACATTTTCGAAATCAGCGCTTCCGTTCTAAACCTGTACCCTGTGCCTGTGAGCCAGATTTTAATGATGGTTTTTTACTTGAAGTACACAAAGAGAGCCTAGGTAAGGAATATTGTGGGTTTAAAGCTGATGCTATTGGGGGTTTTTCTGACTTTGGAGTTATTGTGAAATATATTTGATGTGGCTTTCTTTCCAATTGTTCATAATGTGTTGGCAAACACCTGCAGAAGAGTCAGTCATCCACAAGCTGTGTTACTGTTCTTCTGTTGGTAGCCAGGGAATATGGTAGAAGCAAAGAATGTTATGAAGAAACTTCTGGATGTTGTCTGATTCCTGTAGAAATCCAGGATAGGTTATTAAATATAAGAGGGAAAACTAGAGTCATTGCAGTTGGACTTGGGGAAGGGAGTGAATGTACCATGAATTTAGAGATAAACATTTTGTTCATTGTGCTTCTCATGGAACAGTTTATGTGATAGGGTCAATCAGACAAAGTTGTTTCCTAAATACTGATTTACAGTTCGTTGATGTGACACATGCCAGCTTTTTAAAAGGGTATTTCTCAACTGCTTTTACTTAATGGGACTTGTGTATTCTTTATTTTCTCAAATGCTGATTTCATTTTAATTTCTGTGCAGTTAAACCAGTTAGGTTGGAGTACTGAAATATAGGAGTCTCTGTCTTTGTAAATTAACTGTAATCTTTGTATATCTCTATCCTAAACTGAGTTTGATTTTAAGATGGGATCATTGCTTACATTCTGGATGCGAGATTTTCTTAAAATGCAATGGATGCAATGAATGTAAATGCATACTTTTTATTTTGAGGAGGACTTGGGATGATAATATTCTTACCATCGTATCTTGATTTAATAATGGCAGGTGATGGAAGTAAAATGGTGGATGCAACCACTATGCTATCTATATGTGATCCAGTGCATATGGTTCTGATCAAAACAGACACATTCGGTGAGACAACACTAGTAGCATCCTATTTCTTGGAGTGGCGATCTGTCTTGGCTGCAGAGAATGGCATAACAAATCTTGCTGTTGAACTTCTGGGTGTAGGTAAGGATAAATAATAAGGCTGTAATGATGACTTCAGTGGTTTGGTACTGAGCTTGCTTACAAGCTTAAAGCAGTATTTATGATATAGTTTAATTTTTGTTCAACTCATAATTACTGTGAAATATCCTTTCAGAAATTGTAGGAGACTAATGGTCAGGGTTTTTTTGTTTCCAAATACTGGAAAAGTCTGTTCCAGATCCTAGATAATAAATAAGCCCCTGTGTCTGGGAGCTCTCACTATTGATTTTCAGCAAAATTTGGTTATCAAAACCAAACCAAACAAAGTAAAATCAATCAGTTCATCTCTCAGATTATATTGGACTGATGCACTGAAGAGTAAAATCTAGCTTCTGTCTCTTTCATAGCAAACTAGCAACTGCTGGAGAAAGTGATCTCCGCTGTGCTGCCATTTATTCCAGTAGCTGGAAGTATGTTATCTGACAGGCTGAACAGCTTTGTTTAGGTGCTTAGCAATTAGTACATATATATTTTTGTGTATCACTTGTCCCCATTTTCTTTTCGGGAGTTCCAACCTAGTTTTTCAGGATATTATGATTTAGGAGGTACAGACTAGATCTAGGACTTGCTGTATCATGAATTCCTACACTAACTGTCCCAAAGTTTGGTCAAGTAGTAGCTTCTGAGTCATTTGAGAATTCTTTATCACGGTTTCCCTACCTGTTGGATAGGTGAATAGTTCTTGATAGTTTCAGTAGAGATTGAATTATACCTTCAAAATATTTTGAAGACTGGATATGCTATGTTAGTTATTCTTGATTGTTATTGGTGTTGCCTGGAAGTTTTGGGCAGAATGTTTTGATGCAGTGTTTTCTACAGTGAATACAAATCTAGTAAGCTTATTTTCTAATACTTTTGTTAGCTTCATTCCTTCTGAAAATGCTGTCATTGGCAAAACGTCAGTAAGCAATATGGGTTTGGATAGTTTTGCAAATAGAGAGCTTTTTATTTATAATGACTTGGAAATGTGTAACAAGTAATTTGAGTTGAATACTCTAACGAGAGGAGTTAAATCTAAGTACCACTAGCTTGTTCCCAAGTAATAAATTATCAGTCCAATAAGTCAGTGCTTTTTGTTTTCTGAAGTCCTGTCGTTGTACAAAACACATCAGAACATCAGAGCATGCTGTCATCTTAGAAAAATAGGCAAACTAGTATGTGAGACTTTTGTTGCTTATAATCCCATCTATCTGTTGTTTAGCAATGCTTGTTCTTTATGTAATTCTTATTTTTCAGCATTATGTAGCAACCTAAGATTTGTGGGGTTTTGTGGTTCATTTGGTTTCTTTCAAAGTAGATTAATCTGTTTGTATGGCACTTTGGGTCCTTCATAATAAATTGTATCTTAGGGAAGATGAAATGCCCTTGTTTCCAACTGCGTAAAGTGGAGCTACCTGTGTAATCAGCAGG